TAGCAGCACAACTGGAAGAGCATAGTTGATGTCACTGAACTGTGCATGTAGAAATTTTTGAAATGGTGTATCTTTGGCTATGTATATTTTCACCAAAAATAAAAAAGTCAAGAAGGGAGAGTGTTGACATGTGGGGTTGTTAACCAATGTCATAAAACAATATGTGTACTACTGTTTCATGAGAAACTATTTGTTCTGGAAGCCTTTACCTGAAGTATGATAATAAAAAAAAAAAATTAATATACCCTTCGAAAGAAAGCCAACATAGCAAATAAATTTCACTTGCCTTAACTAAGATTCTGAGCCCTGGTGGAGCACTAGTTAAGAGCTCAGCTCCTAACCAAAGGGTCAACAGTTCAAATCCACCAGCTGTTCCTTGGAAACCCTGTGGGGCAGTTCTACTCTCTCCTATAGGGTCATTATGAGTTGGAATTGACTCAACAGCAATGGGTTTATTAACTAAAGTTCCAGCAACATAAATTCAACACTATTAAAATATTCGCTCATGATTAAATATTCTAAAAAAATCAAGGATGGTTTAGTACTAGAATATTTATTCAAAATGTAATCTGTATAATGTGCAAAAGATTGTCTCCACAGATCCTGTAAGTCATTTGAAAAAAATTCAATATTTATTTTTGATACTATTGTTGTTAGGTGCCATTGAGTCAATTTTGGACTCATAGTGACCCCATGTGATAGAGTAGAACTGCCTCATACGGTTTTCTTGGCTGTAATCTTTACAGATGCAGATCACCAAGTGTTTCTCCGTCACGGCTGCTGGGTGAGTTTGAACCACCAACCTTTTGGTTAACAGCTTAGAGCTTAATTGTTGTGCCAACAGGGCTCCTTGATAATACTATTAGTAAAATGAAAAATGAAGATATCCTGTTTCATGATGAGGAACAGTCACCTCAAACACCAAAGACATTTCCATTTAAGTTAAAAATAAGACAAAGCTGTCCACACAACACTGTTAACAACAATGCTATTAATATTTTTCTGAGGTGTGTGAATATCTTAGATCTAGCTTCAAATAAGTTATAGTTTGACCTGGAGTGAAAAAGTTTTATACTAAAAAATGTTTTATGTAATTATAGAATTGATATTATTAATGTAAAAGAAAAATTATATGTTGTAAGAAAAAGCAAAAAAGGAGCAAAAGCACTATTTAAGTGGAAAACATTTCTCAAGGTGACTCTCTTGCTACCTTTGAAATATAATTATGTGATTAGATATTAAGGTTTAGTTTGGTTTTGTCTTTTCCTGGTGGTATTTTTGCTTTGGGAATTCTAACCCCTAAACCCTGGCCATACTTCTGGCTGGCTGAATAAGCAAGATGCCCAGAGGTATCTCTCCAGATGCATCTAGTGCACTAAAACACACCAGCCCAGGTGCTGCTAATGCATCCTCTGACC